GCGGTGATGCTCCCAGTGATTGTTGTGAACAGCTGTCACACCTCGTCAACGAAAGTGACCGGGGAAGTTAGAAGGCGATATCAGGCTTTGACACTCTGTTCCGCTGCAGATGCTCTAGCAGAGCTGGACGAGATATACATTGCCGAGTTTGGCGAAGCCTTTAAAGGCAGGCGAGCTACCCGAGGTGGTCCTGCTGGGACCTGATGAGGAGTTGAGCTCCTCATCCGTCGTGGACGACGCGGTCCTAGAGGACACCAAGGAGGCGCTGAGCGCAAGAAGTGGATCGGCGATCCTAAATGATTCCTTCGGCTCCCTTCTACCCTGTGGTGAAGAAATATGGAGACGTTGTCTCGAAAGACCCACCCATGGGCCTGCCTCCGGATCAAGGCGTGTGTCATGAGATTGACCTGGTTCCTGGAACCAAAAACTGCGTAACAAGGCAATGACCTTTGCCAATAGCGCAGTGTAACGTTATTGACGCATTCTTCCGTGCGAAGCACGACGCAGGGGTGGTGCGTGAGAGAAGTCCCCGCACTCGACACCCACGTTCTGTATCAGAAACCCGAACGGCAAGTGGCGCATTGTTCATGCTTTTAACAAGCTAAATGCGGCCACCATCCCGGCGCAAACGCCGATTCCTCGCAACGATGTTCTGCAGAGCAACATGGTAGGCTGTACGTTGTACAGTGCACTCGACTTGGTCGATGGCTACTACCAATTGCTCATGAGAGCGAGCGACATTCCGGTGTCAGCGATGAGTACTCCGAGCGGTATGCTCTGGAGTGGCTGGTCATGCCCCAGGGACTGTCGAACGCACCAGCAACGTTCAATCGTCTTGTGACGCAACTATTTTGCGAGCGGTGCTCGAGTCCATGCGCACTAAGTTGTATGCCAGCTTAGACAAGTGCGTCTTTGACGCGGAGGAGATACCTTTCCTCGGGTGCTTCATTGGGAAGCGTGGCTTACAGGCAGATCCTGCCAAAGTCAAGGCCATCATGGACTGGCCGGCTACCAAGAACCAAAAAGACTTACGCAAGTGGCTTGGCTTGACTTTCCGTGCTCAGAACGACTATGGACGAATATATCGTCAAAGTACGTCTGAGCGTACGCCCAGTGGGGCCAGCCAATTACTTGCACAAGTACCTGCGCGAACTACGCGGAGATGGCTCGGCCATTATCAGATCTCCTTAAGAAGGACGCACCATGGTGCTGGAACGTCGAGCACGACGGAGCCTTTGAGGCTGTGAAGGAGAGCCTTCTCCAGGCTCCGATCCTTGCGCTACCGGACCCGGATAGTCCGTTTAGCGTCGTCTGTGACGCCTCCGATTTTGCAATCGGTTGTGCTTTGCTACAAGCAGACGCCGAAGGGCATGAACGCGGGATTGTGCTTGAGTCTCGCCAACTCAAAAGCTGCAGAGAAGAACTATCCAGTTCATGACAAAGAGCTACTTGCAATGAAGTATGCTCTAGTCAAATTCAGGGTACACCTGCTAAGCTCTAAGCCTTTTGTGATCTTTACTGATCATGCGTCTCTACGCACTGCGACACAGTCGCCTCATCTCTTTCAGAGAATGGCAAGATGGCTTTCCTTCTTTGCCGAGTACAATTTCGAGGTGAAGTACAAGCCGGGGCGGCTTAATGTAGTGGTCGAAGCGCTCTCGCGCATGCCGGACTACGAGTTAGCTCATGTCACGACAGTGACTTCGTCAGTGCCTGACTTGATACGCGGAGCGTAAGCACAGGACGACATGTGCGTAGCGCTGATACGGGCACTTGGGAGCGAATAGTTTAAAGACTCTGACAAGGAATTGTCTGGGCGCTTACGCGCGAGGCTACATCGATACTCGCTCGATAGCGGCCTGCTGTATTACACCACCGACTCTGAGGATAACCCTCGTGTAGTCGTTCAGCATGATGGGGATCTAAAGTATCGAATCCTCTTTGAGGACCATGATACGCTCGTGGGCGGGCACTTAGGTCAGGAGTAGACCTATGGCTCGGCGATCTCGATGTACTGGTGGCCCAAGATGTATAAGTGGATTGGCACCTATGTACGCACGTGTGAGACGTGTCAACAAACAAAGTCCGCGCCGAGAGCGGCAGCGCCATTGGCGAGTTTGCCTGTCCCCAAGGGATGTTGGCAGTCCATGAGTATGGACTTTGTGTTTGGCCTTACCAAGGATAAGGCGGGAAACACGGGTATTGCGGTCTTTGTAGACCGATTGAGCAAGATGCTTCATTTAGCGGCGGTGCCGGACACCATTTATGGTGAAGGTACAGCTTTGCTGTTTTTAGACCGAGTCTTTTGACAGCATGGCTTGCCTGAGGCAATTGTCTCGGATTGAAACTGCGCCTCACCGCTAAGTTCTGGACGTCCCTCTTCAGAGTGCTCGGCACTCGTTTGGACATGTCCACAGCAGACCATCCGCAGGCCTAGCGTATACGCTCAACCTTCCGAAGAAGATGTGCACACATCCGGTCTATGTTGGCTTGCTTAAGCCATATAAAGACCCTACTCAGGTGAGCGCGGAGGCGTTGGCACCAGCGGTGGCTGGTCCACGGACAGCTGCAGGGCAGCAGGTGGTAGAGCCACGGGAGGCTGAACGACAGCAAGTGGTGGACCCACAGCAGGTTGATCAACAGCATGTGGTAGAGCCACAGGTCGCGGAGCGAAGTGCTCGAGATGCAGAAGCAAGGCAAGCTGACCGTTCAGCCGAGCGACTGGACGCTCAAGGTTCGAGACCTGGTTGTGAGTCAACAGTGGTGGCTGTAACCTATTCACAAGGCGGATCGTCTCTTCGAGATCGACCGATGGGCGGTTCGTAGACGCCGGCGTCGTATGGACGCAGACGCCGTTCCAGCAAGTGCTTACTCTCCCCGCGAGAACCCAGCTGAGGCAAGGTCTCCTCCCGCTCCTCTCGATGAGCGTGGTGAGCTCCACTATCACGTTGAACGCCTTGTAGCGCGGCGTGAGCGCCAGGGTCGTACCCAGTACTTTGTGAAGTGGAGGGGTTACCCTCACTCACAGAGCTCATGGAAGTTTGAGGTTAACCTCCGGCAAGATAGCCCTGACGTCGTGGACGCTTACGACCGGGCTCATCCTGTGCCGAAGCGCCACCATGACGTGCGAAAGCGTCGCCAGGCGCTGGGCGCCTCCCACTAGAGTGGAGAGCGAACAGGTCAGTAGTTGAGCTCAGGCTCTGACCAGTGGCTGCAGCAGCCAGCTCGTACGTATGAGCGGTGCTCGCAGCGGGAGCAGGAGGTGGAGAGACCTCGTGGTGTTGGGGACGTGGTCCCGAAGGAAGCAGGTGCATAGTGTTGTGCCGAACAAGGTTCAGGCACAAGCGTACCGATAGAAGCATAGTTGTTTTGAAACGACTTGCTCAATGAGCATGATCCGATGTGGATGCGCTGTAACAGCAAATGTGGCATGTTCGGGCAGGGATCGAACCACTGGTCTTTAACTATCCAGGCCGGAGCTCTACCATTAAGCTATAAGGGCGATGCCGTACGTTTGTCCGAGAAACGGACTACTCATGGAATGAGAGGGCTGCGCCCAGGTGGAATCGAACCACCGACGTGTGGCTCTCAAAGCCAACGCTCGACCACTGAGCTAAACGGGTGTTGCCTTTAAGCCTGTCCAAGCGTGGACAATCGTTCATTGAACGAGAGGGCGACGCCCTGGTGGGATCGAGCCACTGACCGATCGCTTGTGAAACGAGTGCTCAACCGCAGAGCTATTGTCGACGACTCGGATGAGTCAAGAGCATAGCTCTAAGCGGTTTGCAGCTCTTGTAGTAGGCGCGGAGCGCGAGCGTAGGTCTGAGACCACTTGAAAACAAGATGCGCGGTGCGCTTGAAACATTGGGCCGTGGGACGACGACGAGAAGTTGGGCATTCCGGATGCGTAGACGTTTGTGAGCTCGCGGAGCTGTACAACGCTGGTGTGAGGTGTAGTAACCTCCGCCGACTTGACAAGACGTGTCCTCGCTGAGGAAATATCGAGAACGGAATGTTCTCATCTTAGTGTGGGAGCGTGAAACGGGGTTACATGGTGTGGAACACACAGGGGTACAGAGTACCCGGAGAGTTAACAAGGTATCTCAGTACGTTGGCTGAAAGCCACACGTTATGCATTTGATTACGTTTAACTAAGCTAGATAGTTTAACAGATACATTTACCCATAGGAGGCTTGGCCGCAATAATAGTAAATAAAACACTTCTGGTTTTGAAGCATAAAAGTTAGGTATTAACTTTGAACCCTGGTCGTGGGCTGTAAGTTCCTTTGGATAAGGAACTTAGTATTAGTGACTCTTTGAGTCGAACGTCTTCCTCTGACGCTAAAGCTAGGGCAGCCTCGCTGCACGAATACTACCAGATCCGGATGCGCGAGAGCGACATCCCGCTCACCGCGGTGAGCACTCCAAGCGGCATTCTTTGGGAGTGGCTCGTCATGCCGCAGGGCTTGTCCAACGCACCGGCGACATTCAACCGCCTGGTGGCGCAACTGTTCAGACCATTGCGCGCCTTCGTACAGACGTACTTCGACGACATCTTCGTCCATAGCTGTGCCGAGGGAGGCAAGACGGCTATGGAGGTGCAATTTGGGGCACCTCCGTCGAGTGTTGGACGTGATGAGAGCGAACAAGCTCTACGCCAACATCGACAAGTGCGTCTTTGCGTCACCAGAGATCAAGACTCTCGGTTGCCTCGTCAGCAACGTGGGCGTTCGGGCTGACCCAGACAAGGTCCAGGCATTGAAGCATGGTCGACGCCCCGATCCCAGAAGGATCTTCAAAAGTGGTTGGGCTTGTCCAACTACCTTCACAAGGACATCGCAGGGTATGCGGTCCTCTCTAAGCCCTTGTCGGGCCTCCTTCAGAAGGACACCGACTGGCGCTGGGAGCAAGAGCACCAGGATGCCTTAGACAGCATCAAGGCCAGTCTCCAAGAGGCTCCTGGGCTGGCCCTGCCAGACAAGACGAGACCGTTCAGCGTCGTCTGCGATGCCTCTGACTATGCCATCGGTTGTGCATTGCTGCAGGCCGACACGGCGGGACACGAACGAGCAGTCCAGGCAGCTCAAAGCCGCCGAACGGAATTACCCTGTCCACGACAAGGAGCTCTCGGCAATGAAGTACGCCCTTGTGGAGCTTCGGGTTCATCTTCTGGGCTCAAGGTCCTTTGTGATCTACACCGACCACACATCCTTCAGGACGGCGACGAATTCGCCTCACCTCTCCCAATGGATGGTGAGGTGGCTGTCCATCTTCGCGGAGTACACCTTCCGCGTTGAGTACAAGCCGGGCAAGATCAACGTGCTTGCGGACGCTCTCTATCGGCATCCCGACCACGAGTTGGCCCACATCACATGGGTGACAACGGATCTATATGATCGAAAGCGCGTAGCGTACAGAAGGATGAGGCTGTCAAGCCTATCGTCAAGTTCCTAACAGCAGGAACGAGCGTGAAGTCCGACTGGTTTTCGCCGCGACAGCATTCACGGCTCCACCGACATAAGTGGAAGGTTGACCTCCTCTATTACCGAGTGGAGCCTAGTGAACCTCCACGGGTGGTCGTACCCAACGAAGAGGATCTGAAGCTCGACGTCCTCGCGGATGCGCACGATGCGCCTTCCAGCGACCACTTGGGTCACGAGAAGACCTTCCTGTCAGTCTCGGAGGCCTTCTGGTGGACCCACACGTACAAGTGGGTCGCCCGATATGTGAAGACATGTGAAACATGTCAGCGGGTCAAAACCGCAGGGCACTCTTCGGCTCCACTACAGAGCCTGCCCGTACCGAATGACTGTTGGAAGTCGATGAGTCTTGACTTCATCTTTGGGCTTCCCGCCGACGGACACGGCAACACCGGAATTTTGGTGTTCGTGTGTCGACTGAGCAAGATGGTACATCGCTCCAGTCCGTTACCGTCACAGGCGAACAAACCGCGAGGTTGTTCGTCGATGGCGTGTTCCGCTATCACGGTCTCCCGGAGACGGTTGTCTCGGACCGAGACCCGCAGTTCACGGCTGCGTTTTGGAAAACGCTGTTTCCTTTACTGGGAACTCGTCTGCAGATGTCCACTGCGGACCATCCACAGACAGACGGCCAGACAGAGCGCGTCAATCGAGTGCTCGAGGACATGTGCGCGGAAGCCCCAAGTACGTAGTCGATGCAGCTTCCAATTGTTGAGTTGCGCTCAACAACGCGGTACACGCGTCCACGGGGCTTGCGCCGTTTTACCTGAATGGCTTCCGTCACCCTAGAGTGCCTCTCCCTCTTCGAGGAGACACTGACTCCTCTATTATAAGTGGGGGAGAGGCTCGGAAAGCTCTTTTCTCCCAAGTCTCAGATGTGAGACCGGTTTTACTGCGGGAACAAGTGGAACCCTTTGTGGATACCAAGCTGAGCGTAATCAGCAGGGTCCACGATGCCATGGCAGCGGGCCAAGACAGACAGAAGGAGTACTCTGACAAATATGGAAGATGACACCTAACCCTATTGCTGCCAGAAAATTACTTGGGTTTTGTATGGTAAATATTCCACAGTAAAATGTCAAACATGCAGATATACTGGTTTTACTCCGCACCCCGCAGCATATTTTATCATATTGCTCGGGTTTACCAATAATTATTGCAATTATTGTAGTAAACCCAAGCAATATGCTTGATTTTCCGCAAACCACATGATCCGTTCAAAATAAAATGCTTACATTTGATTGAGTAAAAGTGTAAGCAAAGCATTTTGCAGGGTTTTAGCGGCAATGGCAGCAGTAGGGCTAAGTGTATTTAAGGTGGGGAAATTTGTGTTATTAGACACGAGGAACCTACCGCTAGACACTATAAGCGCTGTCGGCAGCAACAAGCTGAAGCACCACTTCATCGGACCGTTCGCAGTCCTGGCCAGGCATGGTGCGTCGTACACCATCGACCTGCCCAAGTCTAAGACGACGCACCCTACGCTGGACGTCTTAAGCGGTATCATGATCCGCAGGGGGTTGCTGATTCGCAGACCCACCTTGGCCCAACTTCTGGAAGCGAGGACCGGCCACAGACTTCGGCGAGGGCATCGGAGCAGTCACCCAAACCTCGGTCTAAACAGCAAGGCTGCGGTCGAGACAATACGCCGGAGGGCCCCCGTACGAACGGATCCCAGAGCCATTCGCCGAGTACGTCGGGTACGCACCATACGCGTACGACTGGGAGTGCACCGAATGCGGATCGGGACGAGGCAGCAGAGCCTCGATACGTCGGATCATGCGGAAGGCCTAGTCAAGATCGGCCGAAGTGGCCCGCCTGTCCACCTGCAGATGCAGGCTCGAGACCTCCCGCTCCAGCAGGTCCAGGCGGCCCGCAAGACGGGCGAGCACCCCCTGATTCCCAGCCTGAGCGGACGCATCACCGCCAGTCCCAAGGCCAAGTGCAATCTCAAGCACGAGGACGCGTTGATGAAGGCGGTCAGCCTCAGGACCCTTCTTCGGACCCGCCGGAGAAGCACTCGGATGAGAGTAGCGTTCCGGAGGTGCCGAGTACTCGTACTTGTACGAGGGAACCTCCGCCCCTGTTTGACCGGAGCGGAGAAGTCCACTACCACGTGGAGCGGAATCTCCAGGAGCAACGGCGTCGCGGTAAGCGACAGCTCCTCGTGAAGTGGCGGGGCTTTCCCCACTCCGAGAACTCGCCGGAGCCGATTGAACGGCTTCTGATATGCTATTCTAAGGCTGTCGCGATCTGGGAACAGAAGCAGCGGCAGCTTCGTAGGTAGTCCGGGGCGTCTTGCCCGAACGGGGTACGGCCGCTGACGACACGCCGTACCTGCGCACATCGTGAGCGCTAGAGGCCGCGCACTTCAGAATGTTCCCAGGCGCTTTCTGACCACGTGGGCAAACCGGACACGAAAACTACGCTGGTTCAGGATGCGGGACAGCAGCTGATCTTCATGGATCAAGTACGCACCCTCGGAATTATCGGAACTAGACTCAACCCACGCCCCGAACATGTCCTCACACGAGTTCTAGTTGAGCCAGTTTTTGGGACGAACCCAGAGGCCCCAGAGAGAGTAGAGACCACCCCGGTTCTCGGGCTTCTTACGACAAATCGTGAAGTCTTTCAGATGGAGTCGGTGCGGCGCGAGAAACACGCACCGGACCACCTCCAAGTTGTCGACGAACAACTGTTCCTTCTGGACCAGTGCACGCTCGTAAACGTCCTTAGAATTGTGGCCACCGACAAGGCCACGAGGAGCGACGAGGATCTCCAGAAAGAGGTCAACCCCAGAGCTCTCCTCGGGAGGCCAATAACCTCTTGAGTTGATGACAGCTCCTTGGCTGACGGGTGCCACCACCGGACCCCCACGCAAGCGCTGGGCAGCTTGAAAGTCCTCCTGCTGCTGGTCGAGACCGTTTGTGATCTCCCGGGGCTCATGGATAGCACCCTCCGCTTCCTCTTCACCCGAGGAACCGAAGAGGTTCCGATAGGAGTACCCAGTCTCCTTCTCCTCGCGGAGTGAAGCTTTTAAAGCCGTGCGCTTCTTAGAGGGCTTGGCGTCTTCGGCTGTGGCGGCCTAACACGCGCAAGACCCTCGGCGAGCGTACGATGTTTGAGAGGCTTCTCCTCGTCGTCGTCGCCAGCTTTGGGAGAGCCCTTTGCCTTGACGGCAGGACTCTCAGAGCACACAGACGTCCTGGGACTGTGATCACCGTGATCACTAGCGAGCGAGTACACACTGTCATCGTCGTGCTCATTGGGCACTGGAGCGTGCCCTTCCACAGGAGAATCGTGAGTGCTCCCAGACTCGGCCTCGTCCTCACTGCCCGAACTAAACTGATGTTCAGCGAACTGCGGGTTTGGACGGTTGTCTGGAGAGACCGAAGGTGACGAACTGGGGCGCTTGTTTGCACGCTTGCTCGCAGCCGCGTCACCGGATGAATCGCTCGCCTCCGAGGCCACCTTAGTAGCCTCCTGGAGTGCAGAGCCTTTGCCGCGAGGCTTTGTGCTCTTGACTTGCGCCTTTCCGGCAGCAGCCTTGGAGCATGTTTTCGCAACGCTCTTCGCAGTACCACGGTACATGCTAAAGGTCGACGTGGAGACCGAGAAGAAGCGCGCTCAAGTGCTGCCCGAGGCTCTAACTGTAAAGTGAACCTCCGCCTCATTCGCGCAGCCAAGTCGATGTATTTCGACTTTGAGAATGAGGGTTTGTGACGTACTCCTCCTCATTCTGATTGGTCGGTAGACCGAACCTAAGTGGGGGAGGATGTAACGGGTACGTAGCCCCAGGTGACCCCTAGTTACATGAAGTATGATACGTCACATTTCGGGATATCTGGTACATGGTACCAGGGTCGGCCGAGGCCAGCCATGGGCTGATAACATAACTTTTCTATATGTGACTTATAGTTTGTATATTTAACTCAAGCTTAGCCTGTCTATATATACATTCAGTTTACAAATTACCTTTACCTTAAATTGGTCACTTCGCCCCCTTCGACAAAAGGAACCTGTGAACTACTGCTCACGGAGAGTTTGTGTACTCTCAAAAGCCGACTTCCTCAAGCGCATCCAAATACTTGGTGCGTCCAAATACCGCCTCGCCCGTGTCCTAAGAGAACTTGGGGATTTGAGAGAAGCAGACTATGTGTACCATAAAAAGGGTAAGATACTACGATTTAGATTGTGCATGAGTATGATTTACCTATCAATTGTACAACACTACGATTTACCTCTCATTTGTCCTCATTGTCGCTGTGGAGATCATTGTCGCTGTGGAGATCTTGCTCAAATCCAACGTCCTTTCCTTGTATGACCCCCAAGCAACGAAATTTGTCAACAAGTTTGGTGTCGCTCTGCACTGCGCTGGCACCCGCAACCCGATTGTCACTGAGGATGCCAACTCTGGAAAACCCCCCTATAACTGAGGGATGGACAATACAAGTTTCTAGACCAACGACAGGCTCACGAAATTTTTCATCGATGAAACCTCCTACGGGCGGCCGTAAAGAGCCGCGAAACAAGTTATGCGTGTCAGTCTTAGCTGTATTTCTTCCTTCCTCGTCTCACCTACAATCGATTCTTCTTTCTTGAAGGCAACAGCCATGACCTCTCAGCTTCGATTTCGCAGGAAAATCGGTGACGCGATGTACGGAGAAGTTCTCGAGTGCGAGCTGCAGCAGTCGAAGTCAAACTTGCCACCACTCCCACCCGGCAAACGCCGTATTGTTGCCGTCAAGTGCATTTCACTATCTCGAGCCCTCGACGTCCAGGATCGATGCGAAGCTCTCGTATTCTAGATGATTCCATCCAAGAATGCCGTGTCGCTGGTCTCTTAGCTAAGAACGGAGGTCACTGCAACGTTGTTGCTTCCTACATTCACTTCCAGGAGGGCGGATGTCTCTATCTCGTCGGAGAATTCTGTGCAGACGGCGACCGCTACTCACATCTTTCTACCCCCACGGAGAGCGGAGCGATGGACGAACACCGCACCATTAACACGATGAAGCAGATCTTCAATGGAGTCAACTACATGCATCGAGTACTCGCCATCGCACATCGAGACCTGTCGCTTGAGAATGTGCTGATGAACAATGGCGAGTGCAAGATTTCGGACTTTAGATTATTAGTTAATGCCAATACGCGGTGCACAGATCGGGTCGGCAAGGAATATCATATGGCGCCGGAGGTTGTCGCGGGGGAAGAATACGACCCAGTCAAGGCGGATATTTGATCGTTGGGCATCATGTGGTTCATTCTGCTGACTGGCTCCCCACTTTTCCCGATCGCTTCGCGAAAAGAAGCTTCTTTTCTAGCGTTCGAGCGTAGCGGTGTGATAGCAGTGTCCAAGTCTTAGAAAGTGAAGGCTTCGTCGCCAACTTTGAGTCTCGTGGATCGAATGCTTAAAGTAAACCCAAGCGACCGCATTTCGCTCGATGAACTTGTTGCAGAGCTGGCATGTTAGTCGAAATAAAGAGTGTTTACGTCCAAGATTTAAAGTGTCTACTCTAGGCGATAAAAACAAGCCGATCTAACAGTTATATAATGAACATTCGATGACTCGTGGGTGCAACTATAGCAGAAGTGTACCGCATCTGCACGCCATAGATCGACACTACAACTTGTGTGTGTGTGTGTGGGGGGGGTACTGGAACGGAGCATTAAAGTCAACACCTGCAACAAAACGCGCAAAAGATTTTAAGTTAAAGAGAACCAGCTCAAAAACTGTTGTTGTCCAAGTTTCTTACCTGCGTGAACCAGCGTCAGCTGTACGATGAAGAGGATCCATACGAAGAGTAAGCTTTGAAGCATAACCGCGTGGGTTTCTAGTACAAATGCGAGCTGATACACCGAAGAGTACCCCAGTCTCTTCTTGAGCAGCAGATGCAATCCAATAAACGATACAAATTCCAGAGATCCGTACATGATGAGCTGGACGAGAGTGAGCCAGCTTCGCAGGCGTTAAAGCCTTCGTAAACGCGTAATACGCAGCAGTTGGAAGGTGATAAAGGCCGGCAAGATACCCAGCATACACAAAAGGAAGCATACACTCGATGTACTCGGCTAAGATGACATACTCACAGTGAAATAGTACTTGCAGCCCCTCGTGGATAGACTTCTCAAGTCTCCCGCGAGAATCCCCCCCAACTGATCTGCGAGTCGAACGTTGCCACTCTGGTAGTACTGCAGTGCTTAGGGGCTGAGTGATAGATAGCCCATCTACCTTGGGAGCCATTTCAGTGCGATTCTCAGCTGGTTGGCTAGGTATGAGATGCGTTGTTGGTCCAGCTCAAGAGAGGAAGCAGTTGCCCTTGTCATTCCTGTTTGGAATTCGTCACTGTAGTGGTACGATTCCATTTCTGGTCTAGCGCAAGAAGGAGCGCTTCACTGGCATCAGAGAGTGGCAACTTGTATGGCATCATTAGGCGGATTGAGCCACTGTATGGCTTGGTCGTAGGCTTAAATTTGTCGAGAAATGTCAGTAGTTTGTCGAGGTAGTTCGTGTTATCTTCCTTTTGCGGCTGAATTTTGTTTGTGAGGTGGCAAATACTTCGGAGAGCGAGAAGGATGTGGAAAATATCGGTCGACATCACCAGTACAGTCGTGAGAGACGAACGCGCCGTTTGCATGCAGATAGCCACATACAAAACGTTGAAAACATTCACCGAGAATATGATGAGAGCACCGATGTAGTCGTGTAGATAGGTCGCAACTTTAGCGATAAATTGCTTAGTGATGAACTTGATCACAGGCAGAACGAGCATGAAAACCGCTTGTTGCCGTCCTGAGAGCTGAAGAAACACAGCGTTGAACGTCGGGTATGCCACGACTAGCAGTGACTGGGCTGACGACCCTATAATGTGCCCAACGAGCTGTTTCTGCAATTTCTGGTTCGTCCTGAGTTCGTTCCGATCGATGCTCAACACGATGAGAGTCATGATAATTGACACAAAAGGACAAACCAGCAAGACCATTCCAAACGGGATGGGGAACTTCCACGTTGCGGCGAGTAAACAGCCAAGTCCAGTGTACAGAATAGCCGCTACAATTGTGATTCCGATGGCGCGAGAGACGGATATTTTAGTGTTGGATTCGGACCGTGCGGCTGGAGCAGCTGCGGTTCAAGGCGGTAGAAAAGACCGGTTCGGCCGCCGACTATACGGACACACAGGAGTGGTGGCACGGGTGGCTGCCACAGGAAGATGGTTAACAGAGCAAATATCACTTCTACAGTATAACCTCTGTCTAACAGGTTATGGGTCCAATGGTTCATACTGTTGCCACGGACAAAGTCCAAGGCAAGCCGGAAGCAGAGCCTAGTCGCGAAAGGGCAGGCAGCCAGTACGGCGAAGATGATGAAGTCAAGAAGGCGGACGACGAAACGAAAGGGACGCAGGACAAGCTACTAGACCTACTCAAGGACCTCGCAGTGCGCATGGGACGCCTGGAGGAGTCGCAGGAGCGACAGGAAGAGAAAGAGCGCAAGGGTCGAGAGAGCAGCGTTTTCGGGTCGTCGCTGGGCCTGGGCAGAGCCATGGACAGGCAGGCCCTGGACCAGACGCCACCGCGGCGCACGTCGCCTGCCGTCTCGCCGGCCACGTACTTCGGGATGAAGCAACGTGAGTACCGAGATGCAGCAGCGAACGTCGAGATGGCTCAGGCGCCACAGCCGGCGCTACTGCAGCACTATGTGCCGCCGCAAGCGTATCGAGCGCCACCGCCACCGTCGCCAGGACCGGGATTCGCTGGGGTACCAGACACCCGGCAGAGGAAGCTGGGGATCCGGCCGTTCGACGGGAAGGAGCTGTACCATGGGCTAGGGAGCGGTTTCCTGGCGTGAAGCAAGCGCTTTGTGCGCCAGATACAGTTCGCCGAGCGTGCTAGTGGGTTCCAGTGGACCGAGGACGTCAAGGTTGACATCCTCGGTCACCATCTTAGCGGAATGGCCGAGAGGTACTACAACCAGCAGGTTGAAGGCTGGTGGGAAGAACAGCCGACGCTCGAGCATGCGATGCAGCGGATGCTGCACACCTTCGCCACGAAGATCACACCCGCGCAGAGCATGAAGATGTTCACGGCACCGAAGAGCTCCAAGAGAAGCTGGACAGAGCACTACCTATACCTCGTGGCAGTTAGCGAGGCGTGCGGCGGTGCGGACAACCTGGTCCTAGACAACATCGTGCACTACGCGGATCCGAACATGCGAGTGTCGATGCTGTCCAGGCTGAACTTGGCACGCACGGACTACCTGCGCCAAGCGGAAGAGCTGGCGCACTTCGCCCAGTCGACGGAGATCGAGCTGCGAGGCAAGCAACTGGGGCGAGACGTGGTCAACGATGTGCACGAGGACGAGAAGGACGACCGCAAGTGCTACAAGTGTGGTAAATCTGGCCACTTGCGGGCGGCCTGTCCGAACAAGAAGAAGAGGTGGGGCGAGGGCACGGACGCTGACTTCGTGCTCACGGTCGAGGAGTCGGCCACAGAGACGGAGGACTGGATCCTGGACAGTGGATCCAGCCGTCATCTGGTGAATGATCCGGAGCTGCTGGAAGACGCGGAAGACTACGAAAGTCAATGCGTGGCAGCGGACGGAGGAGCGCTAAAAGTAACTAAGCGCGGGAGCGTAATGCTCGTAACCACGGCGATGGGGAAGATGACCAAAGTGCGGCTGCTGAACGTGCAGTACGCGGAAAACTTGGAAAGGAACATCATATCGTACGGGTTGTTGGAAGCGAAGGGGTACGGACTCGCGTACCGAGGGAAGCACCGCGTGGTAGCCGGCATCAACGGCGGGCCGGCGGTGTTTGACGTCGAGAAGACAAACAACGTTCTCACCGTGCGTGCAATGGAGTCTAGAGGCACGGGGCGGAAGGGCAACGTGCTGATGTCGGTGTTGGCGGAAGGTGAGGCGGATGTCGGCAGGGACGTGCAGACCGGGCCGCTCATGCATTTCCACCGTAGGTTAGGGCATCTGAACTACGACACGATCATTAAGATGGCCAAGGACCCGGCATCCGGGATTGCACTCACGGACGAGGTGAGGGCGAACTGCTTGGCTTGTGCCCAGGGCAAACAGACCAAGAAAAAGCAGTCGCGCAAGGACACCGGGGCTAACGCGCCCATTGACGTGATCGGAGGAGTCATCTGCTCCGACCTGAAGGGGCCGATGACTCCGAGAGATCGACTAGGGAACCGATACATGGTCAACTTTGTTGATCATCGCACCAACTACTGCAGGGTCTTCTTGGCGAAGACTAAGGACGTTGCGGCACAGAAGTTTAAGCATTTCATGGCGTACTTTGAGCGGCAGTTCAACTGCCGTATACACGTGTTGAGGACGGACGGTGGTGGGGAATACAAGACCCTGGATCTCTTCTGCAAGGATACCGGAATCAGGCGGCAGATTAGCGAGCCGCGAAACCAGGCTAGTAACGGCAAGGCGGAACGAATGCACCGCACCGTTATGAATATGGTGCGGAGCATGGTGTTCGCCTGTGGCCTTCCGCTTAGTTTCTGGGGGGATGCTGCGGAATATGCAGCCTATATCCTAAACAGGAGCCCGACGAAGGCTAACCAGGGATCGAAGTCGCCACTGCAGATGCTCACGAAGAACACACCGGAATTGAGTGACATCGTGGTTTTCGGGTCGCCATGTACGGTGCACGTGGACGCAAAAAACAAGTCCCTGGGTGAAAGGGGCAAGGCGGGCATGATCGTGGGAAAGAACGACGAGATTAAAGGCTACCGGGTGTATCTCCCGAAGGATAAGGTAGTCGTAGTGACGCAGCATGTGAGCAACGTCGAGACGTTGTCAGACGTGCAGAACGAACAATTGAAGCGCGTGCATCTGGAGGACTCCGAGGAGTCGGAGGGCACGGGCGCTTTGGAGACAGACACTTCGAGGACAAAGACGAAGGAAAAGGCGAAGCGTCGCGGGAAGAGATCTCGCTGGACGCGGGATAGGCATCAGACGCGCTCGGCTACGCGGAAAGCCCGCTGAGGCGGTGGCGAGTGGAGGCGCTGATGAGGATCGGGTGGAACAGACCGCGGATGTGGTGAACAGCGTGCGGGAGCCCGACCCGAAGAACTACCGGCAGGCAAAGAGGAGCAAGCTCTGGAGGAAATGGCTGGTTGCCATCGCGGAGGAGCTCAAAGCGCTGGAGGAGAACGGCGTGTGGGTCGTGGTGGTGCCACCGATCGGCAGCCACGTACTGCACACTAAGTGGGTATTCAAGACCAAGACTGATGCAGACGGAGCCATAGAAAGGTTCAAGGCCAGGCTCGTTGCGTGCGGCAACGAGCAGATCTTTGGCGTGGACTTCGGGCTCACGTTCGCGGCGGTCATGGAACTGAGCACGGTGAAGGTCATCCTGGTTTTTGCTCGTCGCTGGGGCGTGCCGGCGAGGCACGGGGACATCTCCAACGCGTACGTGAAGGCCGACAAGGAGCAGCATCTCGAGATCTACCTGGAGATCCCACAGGGAATGGTGATCGGAGATGAGGTGATGCGCAGGCTCGGAGTGAGCGTCAAAGGTAAGCTGGCGCTGCGCTTGAGGAAGTCGTTGTACGGCCTACGCCAAGCAGGCAGGCTGTGGAGTCAACTCCTGCACGCGAAGCTGGAGGAGGCGGGGTTCACACGGTGCGTGACGGACATGTGTCTATACTACAAGCGAGAGGACGGCGAGATGACGCTCGTGGGCGTGTACGTGGATGATCTCCTGGTCACCGCGTCCAAGCCGAGTCTGGTGGACGATTTCTTCTGCTCCATGAGCGTGTTGTCCGTGAAAGACTTGGGCGAGGTGAGGAAATTCTTGGGGATGCGCGTGGAGCTGGACAGCAGCGCGGGGTACTCGCTGGACCAGCAGGCGACGATCGAGGAGCTGCTGGAGCAGCATGGGCTGGCAAACGCGAACAGTGTGCGGGTTCCTGTTGGTGATGAGCACAACGAGGCGGATATAGACGAGCCGCAGTTGTTGACCAAGGTGGGTGCGCCGGGTGAGCCAACGATCCGCCGTTTCCAGTCGCTCGTGGGAAGTTTGCTTTGGATAGCACGGTGCACGAGACCCGACATTAGTTTCGCTGTGCATAAGGCCACGAGGAGGACACACCAGCCGACCACGAGTGACTGGAAGCTGGCCAAGAGGGTCGCAAGGTACTTGAAGGGGACGAAGAACGTCAAGCTGATCATGCAGGCGCCGACGAGGAAGGACGACGTGATGGCTTTGGAGAGCTGGAGCGACGCAGACTTTGCCGCCGACAAGAGCGACAGGAAGTCGGTGACTGGAGGAGTCGTGACGATGGACGGGGCTGTGGTGCAGTGGATCTGCAAGAAGCAGACCGGCGTGTCGCTCTCCACGATGGAGGCCGAGTTCACGTCAGCGTCGCAGGTGGGGCGCGAGCTGCTGGGACTTCGGGAGCTGGTGCGTGAGCTGGGTTTCCGGGTAGTGGAGCCAGTGCCCATGAGGATGGACAACCAGGCGGCGATTAAGCAGCTAGAATCCAAGGAGAGCATGGCGAGTGCGAAGCACGTGGACATACGCGTGAAGTTCATCTGTGATTTTGCCAGGAAAGGGATAGTGAAACCCGAGTACGTGGAGTCACGCCTGATGATGGCGGATCTTCTCACGAAGGCGTTACCGGCGCCGAGGATCGCGGAACTGCGGGAGATCTTATAGCTGAAGTGACGAGTTCTGCCGAGAGTGCGACGACCGAGGAGGCGTGTTGGATTCGGACCGTGCGGCTGGAGCAGCTGCGGTTCAAGGCGGTAGAAAAGACCGGTTCGGCCGCCGACTATACGGACACACAGGAGTGGTGGCACGGGTGGCTGCCACAGGAAGATGGTTAACAGAGCAAATATCACTTCTACATTCTCACAGTATAACCTCTGTCTAACATTTAGCCTCTTGAATGATGGCTCTGGAGAGAAACACGATGCCTC